ATACTTGCGTCGTTCACTCAATGTAAGTGGAAAAGCGAGCGAAAAATAGACACAAGTAAATCAGTAGACGAAGGAGGTGATAATGAAAATATTCACAATGAAGTAAGAGAGTACACTCTACAAAATTCATATTTTATTCAGAAATATTGCTGTGATTTTTAGATTATATATTAACAAAATTTAAAGATTATTTTATTCTTATATATATATATATATAACTATATATATACATACATATATATATATATATATATATATATATAATTTCACAGTCTGCGTTACTTTTATTTCGTGAGAAGAAGGGTTTAATTAGATTCTATATCTAATTTTGGAGCGTTGAATTTATTTCTGCTTTTGTGTATTGTGTTAGGTTTCTGTATCACTCAGAAAATAAAATTTCATTGTTTTTATTAATTTCTGGTTAGTAACTGTAATGCATACATACTGTAAAATATGACAAATTATTGCTGGTTCTGATAGTAATTTAAAAAAAATAGCGAAATATTAAACTTACCACAGGCAAACTACTTTATCCTCCGTGATGTTAAACCTGAACGCAGTGTTGATTGATTTTTATGGTTTAGGAGAGTATTATATATGATTAAACTCTGGCGGTAGTTAACCACCATGGAGAACTCCAAGCACTGCCTAGCCACGACCCTAAAAACCTTATTTCAATCGTGGGTACTGGTGAAGCACCCTACGAAGTATTTTCAAGAGGAGAATGGAGAAAATGTAACTTGAAGCTCATATTAAACCCAAATCTCTTGAATTTTCTGAATATCGTTTTAACAATATGTTCATATCAAATACCTTTATCATTGCCCAAAAAGTTTTGATAACACCCCTGAATGAGTCCCAAGGTTGAAGTAAAAGTCTACGCCAGTAGTTTTAGTTCTAAAGCAAGAAGCATCAGTGGGCAAAGATTAGTACCGTCAACAATGTCATCTTTTATTCTTGTTTCTGAGAACAATGCCCATTTTTAACAAGGTTTTTTTAGTAAAACCGACAACATAACTGCTGTAGTACTCGTACTGCTGTTAGTAAAAATTACACTTAATCAGCGTTAAAGAATATTAATTTACGGGGGTTGAAATCGTCAAGAAATTTCAGACCTTTCCGAATGACTGACGCAGCTAAGGCAAACACAGGTATAACTGGCATAAAAGGAATACTATAGTATGTATAGACACAGAATATCCTTCTTAATTAACAAAATTAACAAGATCACTACAACAAATTCATAATTTATTAACTAATTTTTCGACCGTAATTTTGATTGAAGCAAGAACGTTTCACCCTTATTTCCCAATGTTTTCGAAACATTGTCGGTTTACTCCAATCTAAACTAAACTTTTTCAACAAATTTACAGGGGATTTAAAGCAAGATAAAAGTTTAATTGATAATAATTTCAGACAAAAACGTTTGACGAAAGGTCGCCCTCATCGCATGCCAGAATGAATACGGTTTTAAAAGTAACAAAAAATGCGTTCATCAATAGAAGCTTTTTTCGCAACTAGTGCGAGCAAGCGGCCAGGTCCCATAGAATGAAACAGTAGTTCAGCGAACAAAGCCTTTTCCCTTTCCTATTTTCGACGTTTGTAACTGGAACACTCAATTTCAGGATTTGAACTAGCGAACAAAAAGTGCAATATTTCCCCGACAGTTTGAAAGTTCCAAACAATGTGAAATAGGGTAGACGTACTTTTATAAAGCATACATTCCGAGCACATAGCGCTCTATGAAAAGTTTGACGTTTTTCATTCTCTGCTTTACCTCCGATGGAAATTCTATCCGGGTCTAATGTGTTTACGTTTGAAAGTGAATGAAATTATTTTATTAAGAGAAATATTGTCATATATAAAATTGCCTTCCACAATTTTTTACATTGTCCCTTTATTATCACTGAAACATATTACTCGGTTTGGACTTTTTAAAACAAAAAAATATCTAATTTATTAAGGGATTTTCTAAAAGGATGACCATATGAAAATATACATCGATCTGATTTTCAATGTCTTAACTCACGTTTCAAAGTAGGTATTTTGAGAATGCACTCTTTACCAGAAAGGAGGAGAAAATCGTCTGAGAGGAAGACAAAAAGACGAAGAATAAGAGAAGGGATTCCAACCACTCTTTGGCGAGGAAGAAAGAATCCCGATTACTCAGCGAAGGAATCTGCTGTTCTCATAGGGAATTTCCAATACTGGGCTATTGTGCGTTACAGATAAAATGGGTCAACCATTTGTCACTTCAAATATCTCCAACGCTACTCCAAAAATGCATTTTAGTGTGATGATATTGCGAAGAAAAGAATGAACAAATTATTGACTGGCTACACAATGCGAAGAGTACAACAAATTTCGCAAAACATATCTGAAAATTGGTTTAATTAAGCCGAACGAAAAATAAACGATTACAATTTCGTATAGAATGCGCTGAAATTTTATTAGAACATTCCTTTCGATAGGTTTGCATGTCTAATTATTCGTAGAACAAGTTTCGTAATAATTACAACAAGGATGATATATAATTATGTAGAGAATGAGATTGTAACATCATGACTTTCTGATATTTATAATAGTTTTTGCCGTAAGTTTAAAAGTGATTGTTGGGACAATTGCAAGGATAGTGATCACAGAATTAACCTGACGTAAGCAGTAATGTGAACGTACTTCAGTTTCTGGGTCAATGACCTTTGACTCGATTAGATATTTGTTCCATTTCCTGATCCATTAAACGAATACTGAGCATTGCATCCATTGCATTGCATCTGGACATAAATGTAGCTTCACTACGTGCACGTTTAGTTCAGCTCTCCTTATGCTAGAAGTATAGTTGGTGGTATAGGGTTACTATTGTCTTATAAAACTAACTACACAATTCCGTTGTCCTTTTAGCAAATGCAAACAATATCTTATAACTCAGGGGCAAAAATTTATATTTTCAAAAGTTACTCCATACATGTATCATAAACACTGAATTCTGAGAAAAGACTTTTCAGAAATCATAGTATCGTGACCACAAAACTAATGAATCGTTAGACTTCAGGTGTTTTCGTGATCTAGAAATAGCTCATATTATAGAAATAAGATCGTGATACTGACGCTCGGCAATGGTGTTAGAAGTAAAAAATGTCCAAACGACAGATGGAAGGTGTATGTGTCATCATAATGATGTGTACGATCATCATAAGTGATGTACTGAAAAAACACTGCTAAGAAGGGGGTGATCTAAGAACAAGCAACAATAATAGTGTGACTATACAACGTGTATATTCAACATTGTATATGTATTCAAGACATAACACCTGTGATCAACATCATATTATATTCACCAACATCATATTCCTTCAGGCTTTGTTGAGAAGTTTTTAAAAGTATTATGGATCACGTGCACACGACTCACCGTAGACGACCATCTTCTTGGTCATGAAGTCCTCATCCTCGAACGTGGACACGTGGCACTTGTACTCCCCGGAGAGGTCGGTGGTGGGGTTGAGGATGTACAGGGCGCGGTGCATGGTGGCGACGTTGTCGGTGACGCGGTGCAGCACGTTGAGGCGGCCGCGGAGTACCCCAAGGTCCTGGGGCTTCATGCCGGGGATCCACTGGTAGACCGGGGACGGCCCGTTGTTGAAGTACCACTTCACCACCAGCCCGCGCTCCGTGTCCACCTCGTCGGGCTTGAGCGAGTACACGCAGTCCAGGATGGTGTAGCTGGAGCCGTTGCGCACCTCCGTCGGCACGTTGAGGTGCGTAATCTGGATGCCGCCAGCGCCTGCGCAGCGAAAAACAGCAGCAATTAATAAAGGACAAAACATAAATCTTAAAAAATTTTACAAACCTACAATGCGAGAGAATATTCAGCAATTAACTAAGGACGAAACATTCAAAACTGACAATATGAAAATCCTAGAATGCACAGAACATACAACAATTAACTACAGATCAAACATTAAAATCTTACAAAACTAAAATCGTAGTAGGTGAATTTGGCACAAAGACATAAATTAATTAATTAAGGACGAAACAGTCAAATGTTACAATACAACTGTCATAGAACGCGCCTGTGACGTGATCAAACACAACAATTAACTACGAAAAACATTCCAATCTTACAATAATGCAAACTTCGATGCGCCTGTGACACCGAAGAAATTACAGCAAATAACTAAGGATGTGACATTCAAAACTTAAGAAGCTAGAATCCGCGTATTCTAGTATCCAACAATTCAGAAAAAAGATTCGATTTGCAATGCCCAATTGATTATTTTGAATATTCAAGCGGATGGTCATTTCTCCGTATTCGTTCCATTATATTATATGGACATGAGCCCATATGTGTGGTGCGTATAACATCCCGGGAAGATGCGTTGCTCCTCACCCGCTAGAGCCCGGAATCCGGCTCCGACCTACATGTCGACATTCGGAGTTTCTTTCTGCTGGTATCTCCCCAAAGCGGGGAAAACTTCGAAGGTTTCGACTTTTCTCGACATATGTAGTAGTGTATTGGACGTAAATGTAAGTTTAAGTTAAGAGGAAAAACGAGAAAAGATAGTTTGAGAACGGTTTATGGTCCACATGGTTAAGGAACTTATCCACAATTTTCCAGGTACAAAACATACAAAATTTGAAAATTGGAATCCTCTAATGCCGAAAGTAGTTCGAGTTCCTATAGTCAAGCATTTTTGTTCAAATACTACAGTCATTCACGCCTACAAAATGGAAATACAGTAATTATAACGAAAGAAAAAAGCAAATATTATATTGACAGTAATACCAATAATGAAATAGAAAAATACCAAAAAGAAAAGAAATTACAACAGGCCATACGGTTTTGAGAGAATAATAATGATCATTTTTAATTACTTAACCATTGAGTTATTTGCATGATAGTGTTAGAAAGTGCAGACGTTTCCTATACGTATATAATTACATTATCAATTGTATAAAAAGCAAGATGCAACGATCAATTTTTAGTGAAATAAAACATCATCAAAACAACCAAACATTAAAGTATAGTAACTGAATCATGACGCGTATCGTGAAAAGCATAATAATTTTACAGAAACATATTAACCTAAGAAAACATGAATATACTGATCTTATGACTTTCAAATCTTTGAAATTTTACACATTTTTTAAAAAACATTCTTAAAACTCATGAAAAATAACAATTATTAGCAATAAAACATTCAAAACGTAGAGTCAGCGAATCCTGAAATTCTCACATTCACAATTCACAGAAATTCTAGAAATAAAAAAAAAAAACAACCAAATTTTTAATAGACTTTTCCAATCTAGTATCCATTTCAGATATCGATGAATGAGACAAAAGTTTTGTCCTCCAAAATAGGTACCCCCGAAGCACACAGGACTTTCTGCCGGCCGCCGCTGGGCGCGCCACGTGTGGCACGGAAAGCTCGGCGGATCGTTGCGCCTCCATTTGAAAGCGTTTGCGGCGGGCGGGCGGCGTTAATGGCGTAACGCAGTTTGAAACAGGCCGTTTCGAGGCCAGCGGCCCGCCGCACCGCTCCATGAAAAATCAGCAGTTGACGCTTAACATTCGGTGACGGCGGAAATAAACCGGGCGAGACGTGAAGTCGTCAAAAAACAGAGGCTGACCGGAAAGCCTAGCGAGGCCGTTTGGTGTTCATTGTCGCAGCATAAAAACTTTTTTAAGCGCGAACACTTTATGATTTGTTTACAGGTTTCTAAAGAAAATTAACTGAAGTGGTGACACTTCTTTAAAAAAAAACTGGAACATTTGTAACACAAAAGATATTTTGATGGACTCACATGCCTGCATGAAGGTAATCTCGGTTTTCATATTTCTTTGGCAGCATTAAAAAAAATCGCAATGCGATTGGACACGTGGTATAAATAATTTTAAGAGGATCATTTCATTGTGTGAAGACGTTTCGTAGATATGATTATTTCCCGTTTCTAAGACGCCTGTCAGGTACCACACCATACACCACGAAGAATTAATTATAAACGGGGATGACACAGAATCGTCGACCAAACCTAAGAATGGTGCTGGAGGCTGGGTGGTGGGAGAAAGATCGAGACTATTCCGCCTATTATATTCGCATGTGCCTGGAAATGCTCGAAAGAAAAAAATCACGGGAAGTAGGTCTACGAGACATAAAAGAATCGAAACAAAAAGATCATGGGCCGAGATCGCTAAGACAGTAGTGTCGTGGTGATCTCGGACTGATGGATCGCGGGTTCGAGTCCCGCTTCGGGCATGGCTGTATTGTGTTTGTCCTTTCACCTCCTATCATCATATCGTGTCATCCTCACAGTTACCATACAAGCAATAGTGGTTGCAAATGACCTAGAAGTTGATGCGACCTTAAATAACAACAAAAAATCATGGGAAATACAAGTCTCAGTGAGAAAGAAACTCTGCCACATTCGGCGATAGAACTTTAACTAAACTTACAGAGATAATTATCTTACCTGTTAATGTGCACAGACAAACATAATAACCGATAAATGAAGTAACTGATTGAATGAAATGACCATCATAAACGCCCAACTGCTTTTTAGCAGTGCTTTGTATCTCACGTGTTCAGATGTATGTCAATTATTTGCCTGTTAACACTTAAATAATTCAAAAGGGCATTTAAACACGAACTCAGCGCCTACGTCATCTATTGCAGGGGCGTGAGTTCGATTCCCAGTGAAAACATGTAAAATTTATGATGAACTAAGCGCGTTCTCGGCAGATTTTTTCGCGGTTCTCCCGATTTTGCTGTATCTCATTTCATCATTGTTACATTATTTTCACTGTCTCCTACTATACACAAGGTTCATCTTTCGTTAGCCTTAATGACCGCAGAAGTTCCCGTAAAACCCAATAAATAAATACAAGTAAACAACAATAACATTTGCCTTCAGAGAAGCATTTTTGACTTCTTGATGTCCTGCGTTTGCACAATTGCAATAACGTTTTACATAATTAAAATTTTGGGCTTTAACTTTCAAAGCACTTTTTGTTTATTCTGAACATGTTAAAGCGTACAAACAAACCCAATCAACTGACATCATGCGCTCCTCATTTCAACAATTTATTAGTCAAGCTGCATCGGTATAAGCTAGCGTCCAGACACTTCTTGCATGATTCATTGTACGGCGACCAGATACCATAAACAAACTACGAGAAACGTAATGGGAAAGGGAATACCAAAAAAAATAGAGCCAGCGCGAAACACACGTGCAGCTTTTAACTTTGTAATCTCTACATCAACGGTCAGCTACGCCCAGAAATTTGCATGGCGCATCCGCGCTCGCCACGCATTCCACCTACCGGAACCTTTCTGCCCCCGCTCCCACACACACACACACACACACAAATACACACACGCACACACTCACGTCTCGCCGTTCTATTCGTTTCCCGACAAAGAGTCGCTCCCACACATCTATCCGATGCCTTTTTACGCTAACCTCGTCTAATTCGGCGAAAGGTCAGCTCGGGGCGAGCGGTGCCGGATTCGGAACGAGTGCCAAAAAAAAAAA